TACAGTTTATCAGTTTCTTTTGTGCTGGGGGAGCTAAAAAGTACTTTAGATGCAGCTTCCCAAGTGCAGGGTAGAGGGTGCTAACTGCTTTCCCTGATCCACTGGCTTGTGGATGTGGCCCAGCCTTTGTCACTGGAAGATGACTAGTTGATCCCTACTTTGTATCAGTGCTTGGATTTGTTCTATTGTAGGGGCAAGATTCTGCATTTGTCCTTGCTGAACTACAAATTGTTTTCACTTCCATCTGTCAAAGTTGCTTGACACACATTGGAAATGTTAGTATGTGATGGCAAAACACACTGATTATGGAGAGTTGGAGTCCCTGGCTGTACAAAATGGAAGACTCCCTGCTTTATAGATAGGTAACTGAAGGAAGCAGACACTAAATTTGTCCTTCAGTTGGCTAATACAGTATCTTGTAGTGTTAGATGCCAAAGGGTATTTGGTGCATTCACACAAGGCCTGACCGAGGTACCTGAAGGGCATCCATACTCTTCTGGAGTGGCAGCTAGAAAATGAATGGGTTTTTGCAGTCTGGTCAAAATGGTAGTAAATATGGTGTTCGAGGCAGCTTAATACAATCATAAATTGATCTATTTTATTGGAAATACTGCCTTTCATAAAGCTTTGAATAACATTGTGCAAGTACATAAACAGATGATGGTAGGCTTTCAGTTTCCTTTCAAACATCAAAATCAGGGAGATCTGTTTTATACTGCTCTGAGTTCAGTAGAACTCATACAAAATCTGGTTTTCAAACTTACCAGGATTTAAATGGGGGTATTATTACTCAGCCTTTTATCTTAAGAAATGTATTGTCAGATAAGAAGCTTTGTAAGAACAGTTTTTCCCCCCTTTATTTTCTGTACCCTTCCTGAAGCAGGAAGGGGTGGACCAGTAGTGTGATAAGTGAGATAACCTTGTGTTTGTAAAATCTTTTTTGAAATGCTTTCTATCCTGTTAACAGTCATTATCAGAAACACTGTCAAATGTAGTATTTTGAATACCAGGCATTTTGCACACTTTACTTTCACTTAATTAAATAAACTGGTTCCTTTAATGTTTTACCTATTAGCCTGATTAGACTTCTAATTGCTTATCAAGGATTTGCAGAATTTGGTCAATTGGTTCGTAGCCATTAGAGGGGGCAAGTGCCTTCCTGCATGTGGAACAGGAGCCTGTGACAGTGCAGGGGTGTATGTGAGATGAGGTTTACAGAGTAGTTAAGTTACAGGTAAGCTTAAGTGGTAAAGTTTGAAAACATAGATATATTCTTGGACATACAAGCCTTTGACATGAAGAGGTCAAATTGTCCTGATGATTCTCTGTTTTTTCCAGCTGAGTGTCTGTTGGCTTGCAAAGGTTACTTCTGCTTACTTCAGTTTTTTCATATTTGCAAGTTTGAAGTACAGTCATTTATACCCCTCATGGCTGTCACTGTATGGCTGGAGATTTTTCATGTTTCAGGGAGGAGTACAAGCTTTCTCTCTCCCAATGGTGTTTTGCCTGACAGCAGCTTTATAAGTGGATTTTAATGTTTATTTTGTAAATATTTTTTCCTTTCTTGAAGCATTAATTTCCATAATTTTCTGTGGTTTGAATTTTTGACCTCTGATGTCTTTAAAGGCTTTGTTCTTGCTCAGTTTAGCTGTCTATCATAAGTAAGATCTGTGTCTTGTCTGTGAAATTGCTGTATGCCAAATAACAAAGAACTATTCTCTTTAAGGTTGCAGATCTGGATGATGAATTTGCTGAACTGGTTCTAGGAGAACACAGTGAAAATTTTGACTTAATATCAGCTGAGAAGGTAATTTTTACATTTCATTATTCATAAACAGGTGTTTCTAGCTGTTATTCCAAGGGGCTGGATTGGCACATGCAGATTATTCCTTTGGCACATGCAAATTATGATTTTGCAGTTTTATCAACAGAAAGAAATCACACCAGCTTTTGCAGTGAATTAAGAGTACTGTGAATTTAGAACAGAATGTATTTGAGTTTAGTATGAATTTTATACAAATGCCCTATGATTCTTGGGCATATTAGGCAGAGTTTTAAAAGTAGGATATGTTTGTTCAGGAAAGTGGGTTTGTTTTTTGTTTTGAAAATTTGACTGCTGCAAAAGAGCTTAGGTAAAGGTAAGTGGAACTTCCAGGTAGACTCAGTGCACTTTGTGACTGAGCTGCTGGTTCTTATGAACAAAAGTAGCATCTCAACCTATTTGAATTGTTTGGATCTTCACTCACTGCATGTTGAAAGCGTTGAGGTACAACATTCTGAATTAAAGGGACTATTAGAACAAGAACAGCTACAGAAGTGTATCAAATGTTTAGAAATCTTAAAAGCAGCGTCTTCTGTTTTAGCGTCTAAACATTTGGGTTTGTGGTTTGGAACTCACTAAAAGCAGTGAAAGGAGTTTGGATGAGTGGTGTTGTATTTACAAACATACTTTTTTTAAACACTTTGGGGATTTATTAGGAATATCTGATAGCTGGAGTGCAATTTAAGACTAAATTGTAGTTCGTGTGTTAACAGAAAATAGGGGTTTTTTTGCAGTTACAGTCTGCTATCCGGAGAGTCACACTAGCTCACAAAGCTGTCCCTGTCCTCTGTGGCAGTGCGCTGAAGAACAAAGGAGTGCAGCCACTACTGGATGCCATCACCATGTACTTGCCTGCACCTAATGAACGTTCATATGAGTTTCTGTAAGTACAGGTAGAAAAGGAGGTTCACAAACAAGGAAAAATAAATAGGAAAGCATAAAAGGAGAAAATAAAAGATGTTAACGAAGCATTCATATTCTTTAAAAATGTTTACTCTTTTTAGGTATTAAATAACATTAGAGGTGTGTGGACAGAAAAATACACTTGAATACTTAACCTACTTTGGTCAGTGCTACAGCATGCTACAGCATTTATCTTAAGCTGTCAAACTTGCACTTTAAAGTCTTTGTATTATCTGAGCATATTCTCATTTTACAAAAATGTGGTCTAGGGATCCTATTTAGTACTGACTGAATCATGTGACATCTTACAAGTCCTACTGGAGCTGGAACTGCTTTTTTGGTATAAATTACAATTTTTAAAATCTGCATCTATTAGTATTACAAGAAGAAACATATCATCCCTTAAATGAGTGGAAGTTTAGGTAACTGTGAGATTGAGTGGATTAATCCTACAGGTATGCATGTTGTTCTTTTTATTTTGCAGGCAATGGTACAAGGATGACCTGTGTGCCCTAGCATTTAAAGTTCTCCATGATAAATGTCGTGGACCACTAGTTTTTGTTCGTGTTTACTCGGGTTCACTGAAACCTCAGTCAGCTGTATATAATATTAACAAAAGTTGCACGTAAGTAAGCTGTGGTTTTAATGTAGAATTGCAATGTCTGTTGAAGTCCCAAATAATACAAGAGTTTAATTTTTAGAGAGAGAATGAGCCGGCTGCTCCTGCCTTTTGCTGATCAGCACATTGAAATACCATCACTGATGCCTGGCAACATTGCTCTTACCGTTGGGTTAAAACAGGTAATGAAAAATACTGACTCTGTAAGGGAGCTTGTTTCACTAGTGTGCTTTCTACTTCTGTGGTATTATATCTTAGATATGTTCTTGATAATGTTGTCAGTATGTAAACTTATTTGAAGTGCATGTACATGTACTTCCTCCTAAAATGAAAAATTGCAATGTACAGATGTTAGTAATTGAACTGGAAGCTGCAGTGCTGATTGGAAAGCTGAAGGTGTGTTTTATTAGGGTTCGAGCATATATTTATAAGTCTTAAAATACAGTGTAATGCCACAACGAGACCTACTGTGGGGATGGAGAAGGATGTTCCAAATAATTTACCCAAAAGCAACAGTTCAAGTTCAAACAAATCTGTTTCGTGCTTGCTTCTATTAGTTTAATAATGCAGTGTTTTATTATCTAAACAGGTTACCGGAATCTTGTTTGTTTTCTAAAATGTAATCGGCTTTGGCATGCATTTTGGTTTTGGGATTTTTGTTAGGTTTTTGTTGTTTTTTTTTTCCACATCACCACCTCTTCCCCTCCTGTGTCTTGTGGCTCACTGGTGCTGATCCGTAGAGTGCCACTGGAGATACCATAGTGTCATCAAAGGCTTCAGCAGTCGCTGCAGCTCGCCGAGCTGGAAGGGATACTGGGGAGAAGAAGAGGTCTACAAGTGATGTAGACAGCCTTCTGCTGGCAGGTGTTGAGATCCCTGACCCTGTCTTCTTCTGTACTATTGAACCTCCTTCAATGGCCAAACAACAAGGTACAATGAAGCTACCTGGCTGACGTGAACGATTTGCACAGATTTATCAGTCAGTGATCCTTTTGATGTTTTGCACTGATGCTGTATTTTAGATCCTGGTTATTGATATCCTTTGCTATTACTACATCAAGCAGTACTAGTATTAGTACTTTTCTGGTTTTTGTGCCTAGAAAAATAATGGTTTTTCATTTAGATATAAGAGATAGAGGCACTCATGCTGAGTTTTGCTGCAGTCACACTGATGTGCTGTACGTATGTCCTGAGTACAAATTACCTGGAAATGTCGGGGATTTTTCAGTTGGCATTTGCAGTTTTATTACTCTCTGATGTAATGTCTTCACTTAGCAAGACTTCTCTGTGTCTAGTTAGGGTTCATCCATGCAGTGTGAGCTGCAGTCTTACTGTCTTCCCAGCAGACTGTACCAGAGGACTTGATTATTTGACACTTTTTGGAAAAAACCTTTCAACTCTGTATCTTTATTCTAACAAAGCTGAGCATGGTTGGGAGTGAAGAGGAGGGGGGATAAATACCAGTGTAGTGGAATGAAGCAAGGTAGAACAGAGATTGGGAGCAACGTGTCTGTAGGCTGAGCAACTGGGTTGTAAAATATTACTGATTTTGGAGGGTTGGATGTTTTAGTTTACTTTTGTTTGTTTTTTTCCCCCAAAGACTGTAAGACAGATAAATGCAGTCTCAGCTCTTAGTTTATCATTCTGTAGCTGCTTTCCTCAGCAGTTAAGATAATGGGGAATCAGGAAAAAAACAGTATCTGTATTTGCATTTGAACTTTTCATGTTCAACTCACATTTAAGTAAATCATGTAACAGTTGGAAATTTATCTGTACAAAGGGATCAATACTTTTTATTGACTTTATGAATCATTTATAGGTTCTAACCTGTTTCCATACAAACACAAAATATCACTCTGAAAATAGTACGTCAAATAATTAAATTAAAGCACTCTGTAGTGCAGTTGCTTTGTGTGAGAAAATCAGAAGTTGCAGATTACTTGTAATTTGGCTTGACTTTGTTTTGCCAAAATCTGTGCTTCTCTAGGGTCCTTTTGCTGGCTTTGAGAATAAGATTTGACCTTATGAGGAAAGTGATACCTAGGCACTTTATGTAATTCTCAAACTCCTGAAGTCACTTTAGATATAATGTTTGATATTTATGTACAGACTTGGATAATGCATTGAGCTGCCTTCAGCGTGAAGATCCAAGTTTAAAAGTGAAGATAGATCCTGACACAGGACAAGTAAGATGAATCTTCTACTACTCCCCTTATAAGCAAGTTTTATTTTAAAGATGTCAGGTTAGTTCATCTGCATATTGAGATTTTCTTGAATAAAAAGGACTCTCTAAATGTTGTCTATACAAAGTTCTGTGTGTGAAACTAAAATGGAGCCTTGTGCAGTTGTGCTTTACAGAATAAAGGAAATCACCCTGTGCTCTGCATGTTTTTGACAGTTCTGTATTTCAAAAAATTTGAATTACACAGATTTTAAGATTACCTTTTTTATAGTGGTTACAGTAGTGGTGACTACCTTCTCACTTAACGTGGTAATGTCAGATGACTTATAGCAGTGTTTTCCCTCTAGGGTCCTTAGAATATGAAGTATTTACAGTTTTTGACAGTTCAAAGCATGCAAGTTTTTGCTTAAAGCATTTGTAATAAAACCTGGGTTTTGCATATTTTTCCACTTTTCTCTCAACTGTTTTCTCACCAGACTATCCTCTGTGGCATGGGAGAACTACACATAGAAATCATTCATGACCGAATCAAACGTGAATATGGAATTGAGACTTATTTGGGACCTCTTCAAATAGCATACCGAGAAACCATCTTAAGTGCTGCCCAAGTTACAGGTAAAATGAGTAAATGGAAACAACATCTTGTTTTTGGATTTGTAACTTGATGTACTTTAAATGATATATGACTAACTTTCAGATTAATTTTACGTATTAGGGTTTGTTGTTTTTTTTTCAAATGACTGTTTCACCATTTTTCCCTCCTCCTTGCAGATATATTGGACAAAACAGTAGGAGATAAACGACACTTTGTAACTGCAGAGTTAGAGGTGAGACCCAGGTCAGGGGACAGAGCAGGGACAAAACCCATCATCAACTATGCTGAGAGTGTTATTGAAGTACTACCCCAAGAACTCCAAGGAGCTATAGAAAATGGAATCATGAATTCATGCATTCAAGGTAAAGGAAGTGCTATGACAGCTATACTAGTCTAATTTTTATAAGAAAGTCTAATTTTTATAAGAAGCAATTTGTTCCTAGAAGGAAACACTCCTTGACATCTTGAAAACTTAAAAGTAGTATGTACTAACATGTATGTAAGATGCAAAGGAAAATTATGACATTTCCTTAACTACAAAAATTGCGGAACACTCTTCCCTATTCCAGGAGTGGAAGTCAGCATCCTTTGGTTTGGTTTTTTGGTTGATTTCATCTCAGCCACTCTAAAGTGAACTTGGAGTTCTTCTGGTTCATTTTTTAATCTGATATTAAAAGATAAGTAAAAGATAAGGTGTTTACTTGATGACAGAAGTGGTTTCAGAGGCAAATATATACACACCACATTATTAATGTAAGTGATGCATTTTTTGCAAATACATAAAATCCATGAGTTTTCAATAAAGCCTTACCTAATTTCAAAAGGAGGGCTTTCTAAAGGACTGAGTGTGTCCTTGACTTTTGACTAAAAATAGGAAGTATTAAATAACAAGTGGCCAAAGAGCTCTTACAGTAAAATTAACAGGTAGTGGATTGACAAATGAGAATTACTCTATATGAAGTGTTTTTTCCATGTTGCTGTGTGGAATTGGAAAGCATCTCCCATCTCTGGAATGACTCTTAACTGTGTGCTTTCTTCATGCCCCTTGAAGACACTTTGGAATTGTGCTGTCTTCAGCCTAAAATTGATGCCATTAAGTGCTTAAAATACCCAGAAAGACTGGGTAAGAAAAAAGCAATGTGTTTTATCTCAGATGTATTTCAGGCCTCACATCCAGTTTGGTCTGGTTGAGAGTCCCTGGGTTGGAGAGAGATAAGCTGTCTGAGATGCTAGATGTCATTCATTCTTTATGGAATTAACCCTGGAGTTGTGGTGGTGGGTTAGTATCAGGCTTTGCTGTGATCATATTGTGTTGAAAAGGAACATATAGAAAATACTCTGTCTTCTGGTTTAACAAAAGGTTTCACTACTTTTTCAAATGAGGTCGTTTCAATAGATAAGTTTTAGATACTGTAGTGTATTTTTTAGAAGCTTCATTTTTGGGAACAACTGTATAGATGAGCACACTCAGGAACTTACTGTTCTCAGACCTATCTATGCTTTTGGTAAAGAGAGTAAGAAAGTATTCCTTTGTCACTTCTGGCAAAGCTAGGTAATGACAGAATCACAGAATGAGGAACACAACCACTAGTCACATCCTTTCAGGAGTGGATAGGGAAGGAGAGAGCAAAGTGAGAGGCTTTAATCCTGAAATTTTTTTTGCATCTCTTAATATTCTGAAAAACAAATCTGCTTTCTTCTTTCTCCTCTTCTACACTGGCCCACCCAGGACCTCTGCTTGGATTCCCAGTTCAGGATATAGATGTGACAGTGCAATCACTGACAGTGCACCCAGACACCTCCCACACAATGGTATCAGCCTGTGTCTCCCGTTGCATGCAAAAGGTACAGTGAAACAGTAAGCTGCTGTAGAATACAGCAGCATGATATACTGCTGAGAAAATCTGTATGTACCAGTATCTGGTACCTGATCTTCTCTGACAGTGTAATGCCCTTGATGAGAACTTTACAGATTTTGAAAGTAAAGAATTCAAGAGAATTCGAAAAGAAATGTTAGCTTCACGATAGAAGTACCTATAATGTCAACTTTATTTTAAACAAAAAACCAAAATCCCCCAGAGTACAGTGACATAATTTCCCTTCCTTTCTATGTAGGCTTTGAAGAAAGCTGGTATACAAATACTGGAGCCCCTGATGAACCTAGAAATCACAGTAAGTGAAGATCATCTCAGTGCAGCACTTGCTGATCTTGCACAGCGGAGAGGTAGTATTCAGGAAATCCAAAGTCGTCAGGATAACAGAGTTGTGGTTGCTGCTGTTCCGCTTGCAGAAATGATGGTATGTGATTACCTTACTAATGGTAAAACTAGTTTTTTTTATATGCTTAAAAAATGGCTTCAGTTCACTTTTTGTTATGGGTAAGTAAGAATAAAATGCATGGGGTTTTTTACTGTATTTTAATTATTGAAGGTCTGAAGGAAGCACCCACAAATCTAGTAGTGTTCTTTTGCCCAGTTCAGATTGTTAAACCAGCACATACTCAAGTGTAAGTCAAAGAAAGAGTAAGTACTACTAGAACAGGTTTTACAGGGAATAGTTTTTTAAAAATATTGACTCATGCCTGTATTGCACTTTTTATAGATTAATATTAAAAAATTAACTTAGTCGTATGTTGTAGTGTATTTCTGACTCTCTCTCTCTCTCTCTGTGGTCTAAGCAGCTTTCTATGGTAACTTATCTTCCCTTTATCCTAAACCGACTGACATATCTTCTCCATTTTGTCCAGGGCTACTCAACGGTTCTGCGTTCTTTAACATCAGGCTCAGCAACCTTCACATTGGAGCTTGCCAGTTATCAAGCCCTGAACAGTCAAGAGCAAAGTGCACTTCTTCAGAGGAGGATGGGGTTGGTGTGATCACTTTACTCTGTAGAACGGTGTTTTCTATCCTCCATGTTAAATATTTTCACAGGTACACCAGTATGTTCGCCTGGGACTAACTGGTGGCGGTAAATGATGAGTCAGCAGCCATATAAACAGACTGGGCTCTTAACTGTCCAAGGGGGAAAGTTTAAGAGCCTGTTCTAATGGCACTGCAGAGATTAAACCATAACGTGTTGCTTTGCAACTTTTATCTTACAGATAAGATCTGTAATGAGAAGCGATGCACATCCTTTTCATGGAAGTGAGCACTTAAGTGCACCTTAGTCCTTAGTGTGCCACAAGAACTTTCTTAATTTAGTAAATGAAGTTTGTGAAGTTTGTCTATCAGTGAAATAACTTTACAGTTTTGGCAGTCTGTATCATGATTTGTTTTCACCTGAATGAAAGTATATGTAAATAAGCACTTTAAACAGTACAACTTAAGTGTTACTTCTTGTACTGGTATGTACTGTAACTAATTATGGACCAGAGTTCAGGACTGGGTCTAACTTCTACCTGAGTTTGCTTTAGCAAGTAAGTGAAATGGATACTTCTGCAAATTGAGTAAGATCTGTGCAAAAAAAATACAAGAAAGAGTTCTTCCATGACAGTAATCCCTGCCTACCACCCTGGAATATATCTTGAGGGAGGATTTTTTTTTTTGTTTTTTTACCTTTAGGAATGAGTGAATTAAGCTGTAATAGTCCTGATTTGCTATGAGCTGCAATTATCTGGTTACCTAGAAAACTGGCAAATGATAAGATACCTTGAAATAAAAAAGATAGTTTGCTCTTTATTTAAATGGGGTCTTAGCTTTATTTTTCTCAACTTTAGAATGTAAAGAAACTGGAATTAATAACTGTCGTATCAAGTTTCAGGATTTCTCAGTGAAGAATCCCAATTTCTAAAAGCCTAAAACCAACCACTTTTACTCCAACAAGGTTATCAAAGAATTTTATTTTAAAAGTGAAAATTTTAAGTCTTGATTCAAATACATATTCATCCCCTGAGGCACTTCAGGTTGTTGAGGAGAAGTCTTTGCAGCAGTTACGGCCCTCTCGCTTCATGGGCACAATATCCAACAAACACCGGTTCAGCTGCTATGCCACGGCTGTTAAAATAAAGTGGAATGTACATGACTGTAATCAAACAACTGGCTTTTTGTATAGGCGGGAAGAGAGATACTGGCACTCCATTCTGTAAACAAAACTATGTCCAAGAAATAACAGATGGCCTCTGCAGGGAGTGAAAAGGGGCCCTATTCTACTCCTAATTGTACTTTGCTTTTCTGTTTCAATCAGAGGTACCACGATATTGGCAAACATGTTAAGGAAGTTTAAATTCAGGACCCAGTTGTCTTGATGTTCTGCAAAATTTACAGCTTTTATTGAAAAGAAGTCATAGGAAAGAACATGCAAATATAAATCAGTTGACATTTGCATACTCTCCCCGCTCCTGACCCTAATGTTTCTTCCATATGCAGCTCTAATTATGTAATTTTAATTCGTATTTAGGGGTAGCCAGAATTTCTTCCAGCTTACACTATCATAAATTAGTCTGTTCTCATGTGGCTTTAAAAACAAACTAACCAAGCCCTTGTATTTTATGATGATACAGTAATATAGTTTAAAAAGAATTTTCAGAGTTAAAGAAGTTGTAGTCAAAATTCTGCTTCTTGAATATTTAAGAACTAGATACTACTGCTACTAGTGTTTAAAAGTGCTGCAGTGGAAGAAACTGAATAATGAATTGGCTCAGCCAAACTATTGCTGCCCCAAAGCAAGACCTGCTCTAAAGGGGCTGGTGTCTAGGTCTCTGGAATATATGCCCACCTTTTTGTTTCCTTTCTCCCATCATCATTTCAGTTTAGGCTGCTGTGTCCTAGGGGAAGTTGAATTCAGATCTGAACAGTAGCTACTGCTTTCATGCAGTGGCCTCAACCTTTGATAGGCTAGTTATTGTTCATCCAGAGACCACAACCTAGCTGTTACAAGTGCTACCCACCCGTGCCCTCGCTCCCTCATAACCAGCTGCAGAGCAAGCCAGAGCTGTTCATTCTGCTTGGAAAGGCTCTTTGGCCTCCTACAACTGCCATGGTCTCTGTATACACCATATATAAAAACATAAGTAGGAACACAAACCTTTTCCCACACACTAAGACTACAATAGCCTGATATTAAATCAGCTCTTTGAGTTCATACAATTGTAAGGAAGCTCTGTTTACGTGAAAGGCAACAGAACTACAGCTCCAAGGAATGTTTATTTCATCACTGGAAAGGGGATGGTTTCTCTAGTGTATTTCTTGTTCAAAACCCGTATCAAAAGAATCATTTAAGCAGGACGTGTCCTTTTATTGAGGTAGTCAGTTTCTAACAGGAATAGTTCACCCTAAGGCAGCAAAGCAGTTTTTCCTTAAACTAGTTTCTGGTGCTGAAATGTGCAATAAGTACAGGGAGTAGTGCTTAGTCTGCCCCTGCATCTCTCATGCCAGCACCACAAGAGCAGCTGTCATCAGCTGGCCAGCTCCCTGTACAGCAATACAAGTACCAGTGTTAAGAAGATGGAGATGCAGCATTAACCAGGTCCACATATAACAGGGCTTACTTCACTGTAAAACCCTAGTCCTAGTGGTACAGCCACTGTACACTTCACTGTTCAGCTGTACTCGTGTTTTCCCTGAGTCCCCATCAAGAGATGCACCATCCTGTTAAATAATAGGGCATAAGTTTTTTAAGCCCTTTAATCTTGTTTTTAACATGTATTTGTTAACTCCCTCAATGTATTTATTTTTCTTATGACTGAGGAAGATAGCACAATTTATATATAAGTATTTTCCTAAGCATTATTTTAAGCCAGCTTGAAATTAAGCCATCAAGTCAAAACTTACAGGTCCTTTAGTCACTCTTGATTAATTAAGGAGCTAGTGTGTACTATAAGCTAAATGCCAGTGATTCCAACAGATAATCATTCTAAGACACCTATAGGGATACAGGCAGAGTGCCTCAGTTTTAACTGCTGACTATAACTGCTTTTGTATCCTGTTCTCTAAAAAGCTGATTTCTGTCTACCTTGAAATACTTCCACACAGTGTTGAGATTTTCAGTAATTGTCATAAACTTCTGCAGAGAAATAAAACAGCATGTTTCATGCTTTCTGCAGTCCAACTATGCAGCAGCATTTGGGAAAACCTAAAAAGCTCTCTGATTGTCTATTTTAAAAGTGGAGTCAACCTTGGACTTAAAACCTAGGCATCGCTCATATGTACTGCTGTGAATATACAAAGACAGCACTAGCAATAATTAACCAGGAACTTGTCTAGGTACTTTTTAGGAAACAACTGCAGGGAAGAATGTGTTATGACTGCTGTAAACAAAGTCAGTTCATAAAGGGATTATAATGTATCAGAGATTCCTTAACCACCCCTTTCAGACCCTGAACTAAGGCAACACCTGAAAGAATAGCTTGATCACCTCTAAGGCAAACAGGTCCACTTGATTACCTGTGGCAGGTCTTTAATTATTATTTGTAATAAATAACACCACTGTTTTTTAAAAATAAAGTTTTTCTTATGTCACTGTACTCCCACATACCCTTTAATATCCTTTTTGACTGAAATAAGTCAATCATGGTGTAAAGTTTTCGTTTAGAGGAAAGAGAAACATAGATTTCACTGAAAAAGTTCTGAAAATGTTAGTTGTGAAACTATCTAGAACTCTTGTCTTAATACATCTTTCTTCCTCTTCTGTGGATACAAACCACACTCTCTCTCTTCCCTTCATTTCCAGGCCAGCAGTTTAGGCCTGTACTTCTATTCCATTGGTTATAAGACATGAGTGCCAAGATACACTGTAGCCACTAAATCTTACCGGAGCATGCGGCAGCGATGATTCGTCAGCCTCCTGTAGGCATCCTGCAAATTGGTCACATTCCTGCTGCTCCAGAGTCTTTCCCCTACAGCACTTGCTCGAGGCCTGTAAAGGTACACTAAGTTTTAGAATATGTGTGGTCTATAACCAAGAATGGATAAAAATTTTTTATAGCTGCTCAGGTTCAGCACAGAGAACTGTTATCACTATCATATAGTTCTGTTGAATTAAGATCCTTGTAGCTGACTTTTGAAAATCAAATGGTAAAGCAGTTCATACCATAATCTTGGTGTCAGGTTAGTTGCATCCACAAATTCCCCCCACAGACAGGCCTCTCCACCTATTAAAAGTTTCTTCTGTTCTTCAGATCCTGAATTCAAAGCAGAAAGTCAGAATTTTTATTTTTCCAGAAGATGGGAACATATCAACAATTTTATTTTCTAATACTTAGAGAGGATTGATGTTCAGATGTTTGTTTGATCATATAAAACTATCTTGAGCACTAACTTAACATTTTGGTAGTCTTGTTACTGAATGTGAGAACCACTAGGCCATTTGCCCAGAGAAGTCATTTCTCCTCTCTTTCAGAAAGTATTGTACCTTTATCCCCTGAAGGCATTCCTCAGAGATATCAGTCCTGATGTAAACTGTTCATTCTATCACATGTAGAAACATTCCTTGAAAAAAACACTTAGTCAGGTGTTCTCCCTAATCAGCTCCAAGATCTACCTTGCACAAAATGAAAGTCCCATGGAAAGCATGTTTGTATCAGCTTTAGACAGAAGGAGAGAACATGTCTTCTACAAAAGTTTCACACTTTAGAAGCTTGCTAACATATGTCTCCCAGCAGCCATTTTGCACAACTCCACACCTAAGTATGATGCATCTGCCCATCTTGTCCATCATCCTGTCTCACACAAGCACCAGTATCAGATCTTAGGGAAGGTAACACCTTTCCCAGTGAGAAGTGCAAAGTTCCTTTTTTAAAAAAATTTAAGAATTTTCCAGAGTTCTAGTGGACATTAAATTCCTTTGATTATACTATAATCACAGTGACAGAACGACCACCCTAAACAGCCTTATTCTTTCCATTTACACCTTACTATAACCAAAAAATTTCATGCACAGAACATGCATATAAAAAAAGTAACTAACCAGGGAAGTTAAGTGGTTCAACACTGTAGTATTTTTTCCAGTCTTGCCCATAACTGATGTAGTCTAAGTACCAGGGTGCAGCCAAGACAGCAGGGAACCCAGCTCCAGTAACACTGCTCAGTTCACGAGCATAGTTGTTTGCCATCC